AACTTACTCCCAAATCCACCCAGTCCAACACGCTGTGTCACACAGTGGCTAAAACCCAGGGGCCATCAGGAGGACCAGTAGTGGGGCCAGAACTCCAGAAGCCCTCCCACCCTTGCCCCCCAAGCACCAAGAATACAGAGCATCACTGCCCCAGACAGAGTCTTCCGTCTATAAGAACATAAACGAGGCCATGTTGGATCAGGCCAGTGGCCCCTCCAGTCCAACACTCTGTGTCACACAGTGGCCAAAACCCAGGTGCCATCAGGAGGTCCACCAACGGGGCCAGAACTCCAGAAGCCCTCCCACTCTTGCCCCCCAAGCACCAAGAAGACAGAGCATCCTTGCCCCAGACAGAGTGTTTCATCGATACCTTGTGGCTAATAGCCACTCATGGACCTCTGCTATCAGTTTCCATGTGCATAGTTTTCCTTGTCGCAACAAAGAGTATATCGAAGACTACCTGCTGACAACCAGCAAAGAAACCCAAAGCACTGCAATGCCCATATGATGCTAACAAAATTTAAAAGTTTCCCCTTCTGTGGACATAACTCTTGCCCATAGAGAAAATATATTCCAGTCAAAACCATTATTTAAACATCTGATTATACATTACCTGCGCGGGGGGTGACTGCAGCGGGTTGTTATCTAACGTGATTGTCTGTAAGTGCCTGAGGTTCCGGTAGCAAACAGGGATCATGGTGATTTTATTGCAGGAGAAATCTAACCGTATCAAAGGCAGCTCGGCAAGCTCTGCAAAAGTACACACACAAGCACCTGTTGTCAACCAATCGTAAGAGTAAAACACGGACTTTGCACAAAACTACCAGCTGATTTAAGTCCGTGGCCCAGAGCGCTAGCACTTGACACAACTTCGCCCCGATTTCTTACCTTCGGGTAAATGCACCAAATGGTTTCTTCTGATGTTTAGGTCCCGCAGAGACTCCAGATTGCCAATCTGTGGGGGAATCGTCTGGATTTCATTACAGCTTACATCCTGTAAAAATGTCATAGAGTAAACAGCGGAATTAAACATTTTTGACATTTTTCTGGTTGCATGCCATCACATAAAAATATTTTTTTAAAGGGCTCAGGGCCTTTCTTTGTAAATAGAAAGCCACTAGGTTCAAGCCCATTCTAGGCAGGTGTGCGCGTAAAGTGCCATCAAGTCACAGCCGACTTAGGGTGAAAATCAAGACTACTCTCTAGACTAGACTACTGCTATGCTCTCTACTTGGGGCTACCCTTGAAGAGTGTTTAGAAGCTGCAGGTAGTGCAGAATGCTGCTGCTGGGCTGCTGGACAGGGACCCCTACCAGGAGCATATGTTCCTGAGATCACAGCAATTATACTAGCTACCGATCTACTCCTGAGCCCAATTCAAGGTGTCGTTTTTGACCTTTAAAGCCCTACATGGCTTGGGGACCCGGGTGTCTGAAGGACTGTCTTCTCCCATAAGTTCTTGCCTGGGAATTAAGATCACAGGGAGAAGCCCTGACTGTCCCATCAATCAAGAAAGAGAGGGCCTTTTTGGTGGCAGCCCCACCATTATGGAACAATCTCCCCATGGAGAAGAAGAAGATATTGGATTTGTACCCCGCCTTTCACTCGGAGTCTCAGAGCAGCTTACAAACTCCTTTCCCTTCCCTTCCCCACAACAGACACACTGTAAGGTAGGTGGGGCTGAGAGAGCTCTTTCCAGAACTGTCCTTGAGAGAACAGCTCTGACAGAACTATGGCTTGCCCAAGGTCATCCAGCGGCTGCGAGTGGAGGAGTGGGGAATCAAACCCGGTTCTTCCAGATTAGAGTCCACGCACTTCACCACTACACCAAACTGGCTCCTGGCCTCATCACTTTTGATCTCCAGGAAGCAACTGAAGACACTTTTACTTCAAACGAAATTAGAATTTAGTTTTTAACTCACTGGCAGTCCTAATTGTCATTCTAACATTGTGCCTTTCAATGGGTTTTATAATTCTTTCTATTGTGTTTTCTTATAATGTTTTATTCATAGGCCACCATGAGTTCTGCAAGGGCGAAAGGTGGCTAATGAGTGTTTTAATTAAATGTTTTAAACAAATGATAAATTAATAAAGACGAGTCGTAAAGAGCTACAGTAGGATCTCTCTCAGTTCAGTGAGCCCATAACAACACGGCACATGAAGTTTAACATGGATGTGTAAGATGAAGCGTACTGGAACAAAAATCCTGGTTTTAAATATATGCTGATGCTGTCTGAACTGGCTGAGAATGAGACTGAAAGAGATCTTGGGGTTGTAGTGGAAAGCTTAATGAAAACGGCAGCCCGGTGTGTGCAGCACGCTAGGACTTGTTATGAAAGGGTTCGAAAATAAAATGGCAGATATTGCAATGCCTGTATAACAGAGCTATGATTCGGCCTCATTCGGAACACTGTGTGCAGCTCGGGTCTCAGGGAGGATACTGAAGAGCTGGGGGAAATTCCAAGGGCAACCGAGATGATTAGGAGGTTGGAGCACCTTTCCGAAGAGGAAAGTCCGGAGAGGCTGGGACTTCTCTGTTCAGAACAAAGGCAGCTAAAGGGAGGTATGACAGAAGTCTATTATGGCTCCAGTCACACAGGCTGGAAAATGTGGGGGGGAAGCGTGGCTGTTTGCCCCAGGGCAAACTAACGCGCGACTGCGAGATCAGACGTCCGCTTGAGGTCCCATCGAGGTCCCGTGGCTAGGGGGGAGGTGCTGATCACACCACAGGCAAAGAAGCGGGGCGGCGCGGCAAACGGGGTTGTTGTTGTTGGTTTTTTTACTTTTTAAAACTGAAGTGTGTGCATGCTCCGTTGGGTGCTTGTGCGCATCCCTGGAGCCTTGGGGGAAAAAAATGACCTGTTTGCGAGGGAACATGGGCGGGTGCCGGATGCCACCGGAAACATGATCAGACGCCCGCCCTTCCCCCTCGGTTTCCGGAAACTAGTACCTCGGAGGTACTAGTTTTTTGCCACGCATCTTCGGAGGGAAGCCTCGGTTGAGCCATGGGAGCTCTACGCTTCCCAGATGTGGTGCTGTGATCACGCCCGGAAAATCCGCCTATCTTCCGTCTCTCTAGCGTGGCTACTGTTCCGTGTGACCGCAGCCAAAATTATGCAAGCAATGGAGAAAGCGGATACAAGGAGCTTTATAATCCTTCTCCAGTAATACTTGAACGGGGGAGAGGGGGGTTATCCAGAGAATTTAGTGGGCAGTAGGTTCAGGGCAGATGAAAGGAAATACTTCTACAACTAGTAATTAAGACCTTGGAGGGCCACTCGATGTAATGGGTTTTGAAAGGTGGTTAGACAGATTCATGGATGAAAGGTCCATCGATGGCGATCGGCCAGAGTGACTAGCAAAAGGAGCTTCCAATATGCAGAAGATAAGAGGTTGGATTTATACCCCACCCTTCACTTGGAGTCTCAGAGCGGCTTACAATCTCCTTCTCTTCATCTCCCCGCAACAGACACCCTGTGAGGCAGGTGGGGCCGAGAGAGCTCTAACCCTAACCCTAACCCTTCAGAGAACAGCTCTGAGAGAACTTGTGACTGACCCAAGGTCACACCAGCAGCTGCATGCGGAGGAGTGGGGAGTCAACCCCGGTTCTCCCAGATTAGAGCCCACGCTCTACTACACCACCAACTACTACACCAAACCCTGCAGCAGCAAACCCTGAATCCCAGTGCTGGGAGGCAGCGGTGGGTGGGGAGGACCTTGGCCTCTCTACCCTGTTTGTTTGGCCCTCCAGGGCAACAGGTCGGCGACTGTGTGAAACAGTACGCCGGACCAGACGGACCACTGGTCTGATCCAGCAGACTCCCCTGCAGTCCTCTGGCATTCCGCTGTGAGCCCCAACCTTTTCCACTGGCTTCAATGCAGGGCTATTTTTGGGCAGGAACGCACAGGAACGGAGTTCCGGCTGGCTCTCAGGTTGGCCACGCCCAGCAGGAACTCATTAGCATAATAGGCCACACCCAACAGCAGAAACTCATTAGGATTGGCCACATTAGGGGTGTGTGGCCTAACATGCAAAGGAGTTCCTACTACAAAAAAAGCCCTGGGTTTTGACAACAAACAAGGTAAACAGAATAAGAAGCAAAAGGTGGGTGTGGCTGGATGACCATACTTCTGGTAACATGGGGGTATGGCCTAATATGCCAATGAGCTGTACTATCAAACATGGGGGTGCGTCCTAATGTGCTAATGAGCTGTGCTGGCAGGGGCGTGGCCTAATATGCTAATGAGTTTCTGGTGTTGAGTGTGGCCTATTATGCTAATGAGTTCCTGCTGGGCTTTTTCTACAAAAAGAGCCCTGCTTCAATGTAATTCTTGATAAAGCACACAAATCAGCAGAGAAGAACAAAGCTATAATCTGTGTAATTCTAATGGTTCTGCCAAAAGGACAAGGTGTGTGTGTAACAAACATTCCTCTGTGGCTCACCTCAGTGTGTTAAGTCCGCTGTGCTCAAACAAATCCAACACTCGCTTTAGCAACTCACCAGAAAGTCATGCTAGAACCACAAGAATCCGGCAG